CAATGGTGAGATTGCATATGAAGTATGAGACTATCAGAGTGTGTATAATAATACATTAAATGGTCTTTTACTCAAAAAAAATATTGAGCCATAATTAGTACAACTTACATCATTAGACTGTTGTTTCTGACTTAACCCTAACTGTGCTTTCGCGGGGGAAGATACAGACTTGCCCTTTTTTGAAACGTGTGCCCTTGCATCATGTTACGATTACATTATTTATTTGCTTAACTGTAAACCTTGTAATCTCTGCAGCGCCAATTGTCGACGATATGTTTCATTGATTCGCAACTATCATTGGCCGGCTAATACTCCGTATGGATTGGTCGACGTCGGGCAATAGGATTTTCGGCAATGGGTTTTCGACAATGCCCAAATTCCAGTGGAAATTCGTCATTGCCGAAATTCACTCGAATGTTCGGCAATATTGCCGAAATTCCACTGGAATTCGGGCAATTGTCCAGTTTCACTGAAAGTTTGGCAAAAAAATAGAAATAGCTCACGCCATGAGCGCAGTTCACTTATTGCGTAGCCATATTGACGTAGATGACTGTCTATAAATGTAAGTGAGCGAGCTTTGTTTTACAGAAAATGCTATCAACCATGTTATCTGGAATAAACAAGACATGTTCAATTTCGCGTTTCGTAAAAAAAAGTATTCTATTAAAATAAGCTTAACAGAAGAAGCTGTGTGCTATTTCTCTATTTAATTCTGTATTCAATTCTTTTTTTTATAACAGAGATGATGACACGTGTGTGCATATATATGCGAAAAAGGGAAATTGAGAGACATAGTAGGGCCAACAACAAAAAAGAAACATAACAATATATGGCCAATACAGCAAAAATTATGTACTTACAAGTCAAAGTTTCTCATCTTTTTCTAATTAGCTTTTTGCAGCACGTAAATAAATCATTTTTAAATCATTAATCATCATCATTAAATCATTATCATCATCTATAATGATGAATAGCAAAACGAATAGTATCTTAATTTTTCTTTTTGTTTTTCGAAAATTCACCAACAACAAATGAAATGCTTAAACAGTATTGTGGTAATGTTATTGAATGACATTCAAATAATGTAGTCAAAGTTTTAATCTGTTTTGTTTTCTGTTTAGCTCGTTGCAGAGCTGAAGATGATGATAAAAAACCTTTGGCACTGTAATTTTCAGCATTAATGTGTTCAGTTCTTTGCGATACAAACGAATGTTCATTTTTAAAAAATGGATAAACTTCCAAATTGATGGATGAGTACCAAAACGATGTTTTAGCCGATTATTGCAGCCTATAAAAATTAATTCAATATCTAACAAGCTGTAACTTCGGTTGAGCTATAATCATCGTGATTATCCTCAATAACATTGTTTGTTCGAAGACGCACGGGACCCGATGACCAATATTCTGATGGAACAGCCAAAACCCATTGTGTTTCAAAATATTGAACAAAGTTTCTTAATTTTGGGTCGGAAAATGGAAGTGAATTGTTTAATTGTTTAATGACGTCGTCGAGGATACTTAGCAGCAACAAAAGTAGTGCCATATAACTACGCAGCCACTTTTTACATCAGCATTACTTTCGTACAAATCGACCAAACCTTCTTTTTGAATCCTACGATATATGGCCTGAGTGAAATGGAACCAGCATCCATGAATTTCAAGGTCTGAAAACTAAATTACAATAAAAAATAGAAAGTTGCCAATTAAGTGCAATGTCAATTAAGAACTCACTACTTTTTCCAAAGCACCAATGGTAGCAGATTCAAAATCAATAAAAGCATGAGATGGCGAGAACGTTAAACCTAATCGTTTTGCCTTTTTTTTCAAAACTTTCAACAATTTTACGATGATTAAACCTTAGGAAGATGAAAAAATCGTTATCTAACCTTCACCACGATGTTTTCCCTTTATCACATAAAATTGTTTAAAGAGTAGTGGCCGTGTTTTGAACGTTCCGTTCAAATAAATGACATCGCATTCACATAACATTTTTAGAAATTCTGATGTTGAAAATATCATTAATCGTTCACCTAAATCAGCTTTTGTTGTATCATACAGAATAAAATCTTCTCCAGAATGTGTCAGTTTAAAGAGTGCTGGTACGTCGAATAACTGATCATCTGGATTCGGTGGAACTTGCCTTACACGTAATTTATGCATTGTCGACGCTAAACTAACTATGTAAATTCTAACATTACTTCAGCATTAGATCTTACACTAACCTTGTGCAGATGGCAACAAAAATTGATATTGTTCATCTTTGCTCAAATTTGCTTTAGCATATTCTTGTTCTATAATGGCTATGACACTTGTTGGTTCTGTCACGATACGTTCTTTAATTTTATCTAACAACAATTTGCGTTTATTCGCAATTTCATCAGGAGGATGATTATGATTCACATTATTTGACTCAAGAAATGATTTTGAATGCAAATGTGCACGTACAATGGAATTGCAACCTTTCCTCTTATAAGAACAATGAAAGCTAATTGTGTCATTTTTCTCCGATTGTGACATAAAATAATACGTCTATCCACACATTAATAGTTGATCCTTATTTCTTTTAGTTTTTGACCATTGAATATTACCAATTGGAATTGGCCATGATTCCGATTCTACCTCAGATGATTGATTACCAGAAGCTGTATGTTTTTGTTCGATACATTCATTCAAATTTTCAACATCTTCTGACTCAAAATTATGTATTCACGGAACGCTCAAACCCTGACAATATCAAAGCTTTTAATAGGTATTTCATCTCTACTGGGCTTACCAGAT